ACCAGCACCACCACGACCAGGAGGACCACCACGACCAGCACCACGACCATCACCACCACGGCGACCACCACCACGACGCGTGCGTTCACAGCCAGGAGGACCACCACGAACACCGCGACCGGCACCACCACGACCACGGCCAGCACGACCACGGCCAGCAGGACCGGCACCACCACCACCACCACGACCAGCACGACCACGGCCAGAGGACCACCACGACCACCACCACCACCACCAGGACCACCACGACCACGGCCAGCACCACCACAGCGACCAGCAACACCACAGCGACCAGCACCACCACGACCAGCACCACCACGGCCAGGAGGACCACCACGACCAGTACCACCACGGCGACCAGCACCACCACGGCGCCCAGCACCACTACGACCAGCACCACCACGGCGACCAGCGCCACCACGACCAGGGGCAGCACGGCGACCAGCAGCACCACGAGAGCAGCCAGCAGCACAGAGGACGAGGAGGAGGCGGCAGCGGCTTGGGCTGAGGAGGAAACGCCGGCGCCGGCCCAAGGCAGGGCGGCGGCACAGAGAGCGAACGCAGCGCCGCCGGCGCCGCCCCGAGGACAGGCGCGAGCGCTGCCGAGGGAGGCGGCGGCGGCGGCGGCCAGCGGCGGCAGACCCGGCGGCGCGGCGCAGGCCGGACACGGCCGGCGGCGAGGCGCAGCGCCGCCGAAGGTTCGTTTAAGGGCAGAGGGAAGAGGATCCAGCCCTCCAACGCCACAACCCTCTGCCCAGCGACCTGCGGCGGCGGGCGCGGCGGCCAGTGGCGGCAGGCCCGACGGCGAGGCGCGGCGGCCGGCGGCCGGCGGCTGCCGGCAGGCGGCGACGGGCCGGCGGCGCGGCGCCACGACGAGCGGCCGGCCGGCGACTGGCGGCGACGGGCCGAGCGCCGCGGCGCAGGGCGCAGGCTGGTGGCGGCGGCGGCGGCTGGCGGCGGCGGATGGCCAAACCCGCCTGGGCGCTCCCAGGGCGCCGCGGGGGCCAGCGACAGCTGAGCGGGCGGCCCCGGCCAGCGCCAACCGACCAGATCGCCGAAACCGTGCAGGCCTGTGCGCGCTGCTTCTTTAGGTCGAAGGGAAAATCATCGCGCACGCGGTCCGTCATGTCAGTCTGCCACGCCTCGAACCGATCCCCCACGTCGAAGGGGTGCCCATCCACCGGGTTGGCTAACGCAAATTCGACTGGGTTGCGCGACCGAAAAAATCCAGAAGAAACCGCTCGGCCAATCCAGCGGGGACGATGCGGAGGTCGGAAGAGCGCTGAAACTCCTGGTGGCGCTCGGCCCGCGCGGCTTGCGCAACAGCTCTTTGGAGAGCAGCTTGCGATTCACACGCGCCAGGAGAAAGCCGAGGCCTACTCGAGCGCACGGGGGCTGCCGTGGACGCCTGAGCCGCCCCCGCCCCCGCCGCCTGGCTCAAGGCATGTTTTTAGGGCAGGCCCGGCTTTCCGTCTGAGACTCGGACCCGGGGGAGGGGGTCGGGCCCTGGCCGCGCGCGATGGCACCCTCGCCTGGGCCAGCTTGCGCGCCTGCCGACTTGCCGCGTCGCCGCTCGGGGGGAGCCGCGGCGGCGCGGCGAGAGGGGAGGCGACGCGCACGCAAGGCGAGCACAGGAGCAGCGCCTCAGGGGGAGGCACGCGAGGCGGCACCGCAAAGGAAGGAGGGAGGCAGAGGAGGCGGCGGGGGCACCCGCACAGGCGGACCCCGCCAGGAGAGGGGAGGAAGAGGAGAAGGCGGGAGCAACCGCACAGGCGGACCCCGCCAGGAGAGGAGCGGCACTGCGGAGCTCCCGCCTGACCCCGGCCCTCCACCAGGCCTGTGGGAGGTAGTGGGCGGGCGTCGCTGCACTTCGGAGGCCCACGCGAGGAAGAGCAGCCAGCTCAGGCAGGGGCCCACTTTGATCAGGGGTGACTCGTTCGGGCCCCTCCTTTTCGGCGGGCCGCCGAAGCAGAGGCAGAGGAAGAGCAGGACCAGCAACACCAAGGACAACACACGCACACCAAGCGGCATCGCAACGACCACAACCACGACAACTGGAAACAGCATCGAGACCACGACGCGCAGGGTGTCACGCGTACAGGGTGCAGCCACGGCCTTCGCCAAGAGGGGCCACTCGAGGCAAGGGAAGCTGGGCAGGCGCCGTGCCGGGCAGCTTTCACTCGCAAAGGCTTTCGACGGGCTCGCCGACGAGCCGCGAGACAAGACCTAGAGGACGCGATCGCCGAGCACATCGCGATCATGAAGCAGGCGACGGCCTTTCACCGCCGGCGCGCGTTTTGGACAGAGAGGTTTGGCAGAAGGTTTGTCGCCACCCGACGAGCGCAAGAAGCGGCCAAGGGTCAGGCGCCGCGCGACGAGGACCAGCTGCCGCAGCAACGCCCCGACCAGAGCAACTTGTCTCTGCACCCTGGGCGGCCGCGCTACGGTCAGGCCCCGCGCCGACCGCACAAGAAAACCGAGGCTGACAAGGAGATGGCGCGGGCGGGGCTGCTCGGGGGGCACGCCTGCTTTGGCCCGGCGCCACGCGCACCACCGCAAGCGCACCCACCAGCACCATAACGAGCAACAAAAAACCTCACAACAAGCACCACCACAAGCACCGCGCCAAGCACACCACCTCAAGCGCACCCACCACCACAACAAGCACCCACCACCACAGCTAGCGCCCTGGAGGGGGGTGGGTACTCCCAGCTCCGGCGCCCGCACCGGCGACAGGACGCTGACCGAGAGATGGCGCGGGCGGGTGTCGGCGAAGTCGCGCCGCTCATAACCAGAGCGCACATCCGCCACGGGCGCCCCGAGAGCAGGCAGCACCGCAGCGACAAGAGCGACGGCAGCCAGCACCAAGAGCAGCAGCACAACGACTACGACCAGCAGCACCACCACGACGACAAGCATCGACAGCAGCAGCACCACCACCACGACAACCAGCACCAGCGGCAGCAACGCCACCGCGACGAGCGGTTGCAGCACCGCGACGACCAGCAGCAGCAGCAGCACCACCACCACCACGACCACCAGCACCAGCAGCAGCACCGCAACCACCACGACGACCAGCACCAGCAGCAGCACCGCAACCACCACGACGACACCCTGCACCACCACCGCCACCACCACGAGGACAACCGGCACCAGCGGCAACACCGTCACCACGACCGGCTGCAGCAGCACCACCGCGACGACCAGCAGCAGCAGCAGCAGCAGCAGCAGCAGCAGCAGCAGCAGCAGCAGCACAACCACCACGACGACCACCAGCAGCAGCAGCAGCAGCAGCAGCAGCAGCAGCAGCACCGCAACCACCACGATGACACCCTGCACCACCACCGCCACCACCGCGACCACGGACGGCAGCCAATCACAGCAGCAGCAGCAGCAGCAGCAGCAGCAGCAGCAGCAGCAGCGGCAGCAACGGCAGCAGCAGGCACCGCGGCAGCGGCCAGGACGACAGCAGCCAGCAGGGCCCTCCGCCACCCCAGACGGCCATTCCAGCCGTCTGGCCGCCAGCCCTCCAGCCCCTTCCGAGGGAGGGGCTGGCGTCAGCTGCAGCCCGTGCCCCCCAGGGGAAGAGCCCCATTCCCACGGTAGGACTCCCCTGGGGCCAGTTCCCCATCGGGGTTCGCGCGGCTCCGCTGCGGTCCCCGGTGGCGCCCTGGCTTGTGCAGCAAGCCCACAGGAGCAACGCGACAACATGTTCGACCACAAGAGGCGGTACGACTCCCAACAGTGGCGCCGCGAGCAGCAGCACAACGACGACGACAAGCAGCAACATCAGCAGCAACACCACCACGACAACCATCACCAGCGGCAGCGTCGCCACCGGGACCAGCTGCAGCGGCACCACCACGACGACAGCAGCAGCAGCAGCACCACCACCACCACCACCACCACCGCCACCACGACCAGCAGCAGCAGCAGCAGCAGCAGCAGCAGCAGCAGCAGCAGCAGCATGGCAACCACCACAACGACCAGCACCACAGCGACCAACACAAACGACCAGCAACACAGTATGCACCAAACGACCAGCGCCACAGCACGCACCCAACGACCAGCACCACTGCACCACAACACGCAGCCAACGACTGCGGACGGCAGCCCCCTGGCAGCAGCAGCAGCAGCAGCAGAAGCAGCAGAAGCGGCAGCCAGCAGGGCCCTCCGCCACCCCAGACGGCCATTCCAGCCGTCTGGCCGCCAGCCCTCCAGCCCCTTCCGAGGGAGGGGGCTGGCGTCAGCTGCAGCCCGTGCCCCCCAGGGGAAGAGCCCCATTCCCACGGTAGGACTCCCCTGGGGCCAGTTCCCCATCGGGGTTCGCGCGGCTCCGCTGCGGTCCCCGGTGGCGCCCCGGCTTGTGCAGCAAGCCCACAGGAGCAACGCGACAGCCACGGGCGCCGCGAGAGCAGGCAGCACCGCAGCGACCAGAGCGACAGCAGCCAGCACCCAACTGCGGCCACAGGCGGAGGAAAACTACGACGGCGACCAAGACAGCAACGAGCAGCACCACGACGGCGACCAGCAGCACCAGCAGCACCGCCACAGCCACGACGGCGCAAAACAACGGCAGCAGCACCACCGCCACGACAGCCACCAGCAGCACCACCGGCACCACGAGCACCACCCAGCGCTGCACTGACCCAGACTCCCGGATTGACTTGGAGATCTCAGGAAGAACATATTCTTGGAGGGACTCTGAAGTCTCAGGGGGAGGTTAAGGGAGGAGCGCGCGAGGGCAGGCAGTCCCGTGGCGACCAGAGCGACGGCAGCCAGCACACAGCCACGGCAGCAGGCGGCGGCTCCCAAAGACCGCGCACACGACGAGAGCGACCACCACGACAGCGACCAGCAGCAACACCAACGCCACCGCCACGACAGCGCCCAACAGCAACACCACGACAGCGACCGGCAGCGCCGCCACCAGCACCAGCACCAGCAGTGACACTGGCAGCACCACCTGTACCACGACAGGAGCTGCGCACACCAGGGAGGGACCAGCGAGACGCGCTGCACGGCTACCGCGGACAGCGCGTGGGTGAGGCGAGCCACCCAGGGCCACCGCACAACGACGCTGCCCCAGCCACGCCGCCGCGCGGACGCTCGCAAGCGGACCTGCCCGAGCCAGCGGGCGAGGTTTCGGGCGAATCCGCGCCCCGGCCGGCGGAAGCCGAGACTCCCCCTCGAGAGCTCTTCGGTTCGCCGGGCCGGTCTCTGTCGCCGCTGCCTGCCGGACAGAGCCACTTCAGCGCCGTGTTCGGACAGGCGCCTGCGGCCGAATGGGACTTCTCTGGGATGTTCGCGCCGCCGCGGGAGACAGCCGAACGCGCGGCGGCGGAGGAGCAGCAACAGCCGCAGCAACCACAGCAAGGGCCGGAGTTCCAGGAGCCGGAGCAGCCAGAAGCCAGCGAGGTTTGCTACATGTGCCAGGAGCCGCTCGACGACTCGAGGGTGCAATGGCCCGACTGCGGCCACGTCCCGCACTGCTTCCACGCAGCCTGCCTGGCCCGGTTTCGCCCTCTCCGCCGCGGACTCGCACACCTGCGGAACTCGGGCGGCGATTCCAGCCGGGTAGAGGACGCAGCGTGCCCGCTCTGCAACCACAGGTGGGGCGACGACCCGAACTCTGCCGCGCGGCTCGCGGAGCTGGCGGGCCACCTTGGGCGCGGCGGGGGACTACCTTTCCGAGGGTGCCGCTGCCTGCCTTGCCGGGGAGTTGCAGGCGACCCGAGTTCCGACGAGGAGCGGGCCAGCCGGCACCGAGGGGGGCCCCTCGTGCTGCCGGAGGGGCCGGCACCGCACGCGATCGCCATGTGCCCGCGCCACCCGGAGCGACCCATGCGATGGCGGCACTCGCGCGGGCCAGATGGGCTGACGGGCAGCTGGGAATGCGCCGCCTGCGATGTCGCCCCGCTCGGTAGCGAGGTCCCGCCGCCGCTGGGCGAGAGGCCGCCGCAGTGCCCTTGCGGCCAGCCAGGGCAGGTCGAGTGGGTCGCCCGGGCCAGCGGGGACGCCGGAGGGCCTTGGAGGTGGCAGGGAAACTGGCTCTGCGAAAGCTGCGCCGCCACAGCGCTGCCCGAGCCAGAGGCCGCACAGCCGGAACGGCCGCCAGAGACAGGAGCAGGAGGCGGGAGCCCGGACCCACCGGCGGCGGACGGCCCACGAACCCAGTTCAGCGGCTGGTCGCCTCCACGACACGCTGCAGAGACCAGCCGCTACCTTAACTCCTGGATGTACGTGCCGCTCCTCCTGGACGCCGGGCCAGCTTGACATGCAGGAAGCCGCCGCGCGGCGACAGCACCCTGCTGCAGCACACTGGTGGGAGAACGCCGCGGCGTTCCTCCGAGAGAGGCCGCGCGCCGACGTGTCCGCCTTCCGCGCGGCGGGCCCCCTACTGCCGCAGGCTCTCGGAGACGGGCTGCACGGGGACCAACTGGGGCTGCCAGCGGTGGTAGGGCTCCTTGCCGACGACAGAGGATACGTGCAGCCGATCGCCCAGGACATCGTGATGCAGATCTTCGGGGGGGTGGACTTCATCCGCGCTGTGGAGGTGCAGGCTGACGCCTACAGGGCATGGCTTGCGCGCGGGCTGCCTCCAAGACCCGCCCCGGCAGCAGGGCCTGGAGCACCGGGCCCGCCAGACGCGCGCGGAAGAGGCGCCGAGGAGGAGCCGCAGGCGGAGGGAGAGGGAGGCGCCGCACCAGGCAGAGGAGGGAGAGGCGCAAGAGGAGGCAGAGGACGAAGAGGCGCTGGAGGAGGCAGAGGGGGCAGAGGCGCCCGAGGAGGCAGAGGGCGAGCAGGCGGCAGAGGAGACCTGAGCAGCGACGACGACGACGACGAGAGCAGCGAGGAAGAGGGCAGCCACAGCCAGAGCGACAGCGCCTCCGACAGCGCTGGCCCCGCGCTGCCTGCGCCAGCGCCGCCGCCTGCGCCAGCGCCGCCGCCTGCGCCAGCGCCGCCGCGCAGTGGCGGAGGCCGGCGACGAAACCGGCGCCCGGCGCAGTCTGCCTTCCCCGACGCCGCCTGGGCGCTTCTTGACGCAGTGGACTTGGAGGCCGAACTGCGCCGGCGGGTGCCGTGCATCCGGGCGCCGCCGGCTTTCCTCCGCGGCCGCCTTCGCCAACTCTACCACACGGTCCTCGAGGAGGTCCTGCGCGCAGACGCCCTTCCTGGCGACGCCGACGGGCTGCAGAAGGTGAGGGCGTGGAAGCTCCTGGTTCTCATCTGGCGCATGCTGCTGCGACGGACCGCGAGCACTGGAGCGCCAGGGCGGCGAGAGCTCGAAGCGCGACTGGAGCAGTTCGAGGACGGCTCCTGGGAAGCGCTGCTGGCCCCAAGCCTGCAAGGGCAGCGGCCTCCGGGAGGAGCGCGCGGCGCGGGCGACGCCGAGGCGAGGCGCCAGCGCGTCCTGGAAGACGCGGTGGCGCTGGTCAGAGCAGGGGGCCTCAGCAAGGCGCGGCAGCTGCTCGCCTCGCGCGGGCTGGCGCCGGGCACGGCGGAGACTTTGGCAGAACTGCGAGACCCCGCCCGGCGACCGCCGAGGCCCGCCGCCGACTTGCCGCCTGCCGCCCGAGCCTTCCAGCCGGCTCGACCCGTCGAGCTCGACCGCCGCATCTGGACCGACTGCGTCCGCTCCGCCCCGAAAGGGTCTTCCAGCTCGCTGAGCGGAGCCAGCTTTGAATTGCTCAAGCTGGCCTTGGACGAAGACGAGACGCTCGAGCTGCAAGCTGCCGTGGCGGAGCGCTACGCGCGGGCCGAGATCCCAGCGAGCGTTGCCCGCGCCCTGGGCACAGGCCGCATGACGGCGCTGCTGAAGGACAACGGCCGCGCGCGAGGCATTGTTGCAGGCGACGACTTCCGCCGGCTCGTGGGCAAGGCCCTCTCCCGGCAGTATGGGTCCGAGATGGACGACGCCTGCGCGCCGTTCCAGCACGCGCTTTCGACGAGAGCGGGCACAGACAGCGCCGCCCACTTCCTCCGAGCGGCCACGGACTCCGACCCCGCGGCGACCATCGTCAGCATCGACGGCATTGGGGCCTTCGACCACGTGCGCCGCGACCGCATGATCGAGAAGCTCCTCTCGCTGCCGGAGGCTTCTGCCATGGTCCCATTCGTCCTGCTCTCCTACGGCCAGCCGTCGACGTACCTCTGGACAGACGATGCAGGAGTCGCGCACGAGGTGAGGCAGGGAGAAGGCGGAGAGCAAGGCGACCCGCTCATGCCGGCGCTGTACTCCCTGGCTCAGCATGGCGCCCTGGAGAGAGCCCGCGCGCAGCTTCAGCCGGGCGAGACGCTGATCGCCTACTTGGACGACGTCTACATTGTATGCAGACCAGAGCGCGCCACAGAGGCTTTCCGCGTGGTTACCGCCGCCATGCGCGAGTGGGCAGGGATCGAGGCGAACCTCGGCAAGTGCCGCATGTGGAACCGGGGCGGCTTCGAACCAGCAGGGCATTCGTCGTTGGGCACAGACGTGTGGGTTGGCGGCGCCGGCACGCCTGAGGAGCACCGCGGCCTCAAGGTACTTGGCACGCCCCTGGGCACCGCGGCGTTCGCGGCCCGGCTGACGCAGCAGAGGACGGACGAGGAGCGCAGCTTCCTACAAGAACTCCCCAACCTGCCAGACCTTCAGTGCGCTTGGGCGCTCCTGCTGTACTGCGCGGTGCCGAGGTGCAACCACGTCCTGCGCACGCTGCCTCCGACGCTGTCGCGGTCCTACGCCGAGGCCCACGACCGCGGGCTGCAGGAGGCGCTGCACGACCTCCTCGACCTCGACCCCGCGCCAGCTGAAGCAGAGAGGCTCTCCCGAGTGAGCTCGCTGCCGCTCGGCCTCGGAGGCCTTGGACTCAGGTCAGCCGCGCGCACGGCCGAGTGCGCGTACTGGGCGTCTTGGGCGGACGCGCTCCCCATGTTGCGACAAAGAAACCCTACAGCAGCAACGGAGCTCACCGCCACCCTCCTCGCCGGAACAGGCGCCGCAGCCTCGTGCCTCCAGGAAGCTGAGCGCGCGAGGGCTGCCGCCGCCCGCGACGGCTTTGCGACGTGCCCAACTTGGCAGGAGGTCTGGGACGGCGCGCGCCCTGAACAGACAGAGCCAGAGCCGGGCGAGTGGAAGCACGGATGGCAGTACCACGCCTCCGCAGCCCGAGAGCGGCGCTACAGGGAGGAGGTCGTTCTCCCGAGCCTCACAGACGACCAGCAGTGGATGCTCGACTCGCAGGGAGGCCGCTGCGGCGGACGGCACCTGGCCCTGATCCCCTCGACGCCAGAAAGCACGTTCACGCCAGAGCGCTTCCGGGCACTGCTCCAGAGACGGCTCCGCTTGCCGCTGGACGCCACGGCAAGCAGGTGCAACGGGCGCTCCTGCCAGGCCCACTTGGACGAGAGAGGCGACCACAGAGCAGCTTGCCCCCGCAGCGGACGCCTGCTGAAGCGCGGCGCTCCCATCGAGCGGATGTGGGCCCGGGTGTGCCGGGAGGCAGGAGGCCGTGTCCGCACCGACGTGTTCCTGCGCGACATGAACCTCCCGGGCATTGCCGCCAACGACGGGCGCCGCATCGAGGTGGTGGCCAACGGCCTCCCTGCCTACCACGGCAGGCAGCTCGCCATCGACGCCTGCATCGTATCCCCGCTGAGGGCCACCGGCAGGCCGATTGCGCGGAGGCTCCGCCCAGGACTCGCGCTGAAACGGGCGAGGCGCCGCAAGCAAACGACTTACCCTGAGCTGGTGGGCTCGCGGCGGGGCTACCTGCTCGTAGCCGGAGCAGAGACGGGCGGCCGCTGGGACGAGGAGGCGTACAAGCTCCTCGTCACCCTGGCCCGCGCCCGGGCGAGGAGCGCGCCGGCGGCGCTGCGAGGATCGCTTGCGACCGCGCTGCTGCACAGGTGGAGCGGCATGTTGGCGTACGCCATCCACGACGCCCTGGCCGCGAGCCTGCTCGAGGACGTGCCCTCTGAAACGCTAGCGACAGACGGGGAGAATCCCTGGCGAGGGGACGTTCTGTCGGCGCTCCCCTGAGAGCACCGGCCCCCGCGTGGGGGCGCGCACGGGCAGGGCGGGGCACAGCAGCTCGCAGGAACGCCGACAGCAGAGCTACTGTGAACAGCACCACAACCACCGCCACCACCACTAGCACAACTACGAACAGCACCTCCACCAGCACGACGACGACCACGACGACCAGGAGGAGGAGGAGAAGGACCACCACGACCAGCACCACCACGACCAGCACCACCACGGTGACCAGCACCACGGCGACCAGCCCCACCACGGCGACCTGCACCACGACTACGCGCCACCACAGCGACCAGCACCACCACGCCCAGCACCACCACGACCAGGAGGACCACCACGACCAGCACCAACACGGCAACCACCACCACGACCAGCGCGACTACGGCCAGGAGGACCGCCACGACCACAACCACGACCGCGGCCAGCACGACTGCTGCCAGCACGACCAGCACCACCACCAGCACGACCAGCACGACCACGGCCAGAGGACCACCACGACGACCACCACCACCAAGACCAGCACCACCACGACCACGGCCGGCACCATCACAGCGACCGGCACCACCACGGCGGCCAGCACCACCTCGACCAGCACCACCACGACCAGGAGGACCACCACGGCGACCAGCGCCACCACGGCGACCAGCACCACCACGGCGACCAGCACCACCACGACCAGCACCACCACGGCGACCGGCACCACCACAGCGACCAGCACCACCACGGCCAGCACCACCACGACCAGGAGGACCACCACGACCAGCACCACTACGGCGACCAGCACCACCACGGCGACCAGCACCACGATTACGCACCACCACAGCGACGAGCACCACCACCAGCACCACCACGACCAGGAGAACCACCACGACCAGCACCACGACCAGCACCACCACGGCGACCACCACCACGACCAGCGCGACCACGGCCAGGAGGACCACCACGACCACCACGACCGCGGCCAGCACGACCACGGCCAGCACGACCACGGCCAGCACGACCAGCACCACCACCACCACGACCAGCACGACCACGGCCAGAGGACCACCACGACGACCACCACTACCAAGACCAGCACCACCACGACCACGGCCGGCACCACTACAGCGACCGGCACCACCACGGCGGCCAGCACCACCTCGACCGGCACCACCACGACCAGGAGGACCACCGCGGCGACCAGCGCCACCGCGGCGACCAGCACCACCACGGCGACCAGCACCACCACGACCAGCACCAACACGGCGACCGGCACCACCACAGCGACCAGCACCACCACGGCCAGCACCACCACGACCAGGAGGACTACCACGACCAGCACCACCACGGCGACCAGCACCACCACGGCGACCAGCACCACCTCCACGACCAGCACCGCGACTACGCACCACCACGGCGACCAGCACCACCACGAGCAGCACCACCACGACCAGGAGGACCACCACGACCAGCACCAACACGGCGACCAGCACCACGACAAGCGCGACCACGGCCAGGAGGAGCACTACGACCACCACCACGACCAGCACCACGGCGACCACGACCACCACGACCACGGCCAGCACGACCAGCACCACCACCACCACGACCAGCACGACCACGGCCAGAGGACCACTATGACCACCACCACCACGATCAGCACCACCACGCTCACGGCGACCGGCACCACCACGGCGACCAGCACCACCACGACCAGCACCACCACGACCAGGATGACCACCACGGCGACCAGCACCAACACGGCGACCAGCATCACCACGGCGACCAGCACCACTGCGATCAGCACCACCACGACCAGGAGGGCTACCACGACCAGCACCACCACGGCGACCAGCATCACCACGACCAGCACCACCACGGCGACCAGCACCACGACTACGCACCACCACAGCGACCAGCACCACCACCAGCATCACCACGACCAGGAGAACCACCACGACCAGCACCACGACCAGCACCACCACGGCGACCACCACCACGACCAGCGCGACCACGGCCAGGAGGACCACCACGACCACCACGACCGGCACCACCACGACCACGGCCAGCACGACCACGGCCAGCACGACCAGCACCACCACCACCACCACGACCAGCACGACCACGGCCAGAGGACCACTACCACTACCACCACGACCAGCACCACCACGCCCACGGCCAGCACCACCACGGCGATCAGCACCACCACAGCGACCAGCACCACCACGACCAGCCCCACGACCAGGAGGACCACCACGACCAGCACCACCAGCACCACCACGGCGACCAGCACCACTACGACCAGCACCACCACGGCGACCAGCACCACCACGACCAGCACCACTACGACCAGCACCACCACGACCAGGAGGACCACCACGACCAGCACCACCACGGCGACCAGCACCACTACGGCGACCAGCACCACTACGACCCGCACCACCACGGCGACCAGCACCACCACGACCAGGAGGACCACCACGACCAGCACTACCACGGCGACCAGCACCACCACGGCGACCAGCACCACCACTGCGACCAGCACCACCACGACCAGCACCACCGCGACCAGGAGGACCACCACGACCAGCACCACTACGGCGACCAGCACCACCACGGCGACCAGCACCACTACGACCAGCACCACCACGGCGACCAGCACCACCAGGACCAGGGGCAGCACGGCGACTAGCAGCACCCCGACAGCAGCCAGCAGCACAGAGGAGGAGGAGGCGGCGGCGGCGGCGGCGGAGGCGGCGGAGGAGACGCTGGCGCTGGCCCGAGGCAGCGCGGCGGCGCGGAGGGCGAACGCACCGCCGCGAGGCGCAGCGCCGCCGCAGGTTCGCGCACGGGCAGAGGGGGGAGGATTCAGCCCTCCCAAGCCACAACCCTCTGCCCAGCGACCTGCGGCGGCGGGCGCGGCGACCAGCGGCGGCAGGACCGGCGGCGAGGCGCGGCGGCCTGCGGCCGACCTGCGGCAGGCGGCGACGGGCCAGGCGCCGCGGCGAAGCGCGGCGGCCCGCGGCGGCGCGGCCGCGCGGAGGCCGTAAGCTGCGCCGCCAGCGCCGCCCCGAGGGCGGCGGCGGCGGCACCGGCTGGCGGCGGCAGGCCCGGCGGCGCGGCGCTGCGACGAGCGGCTGGCCGGCGACTGGCGGCGACGGGCCGGGCGCCGCGGCACAAGGCGCCGGCTGGCGGCGGCGGCTGGCGGCGGCTGGCCGAGGGCGCCCCGGGCGCTCCTGGGGCGCCGAGGGGCTTGGGGCAGCTGAGCGGGAGGCCCCCGGCGGGGCGGCTAGCTGGCGGGAGGTTCGGGGTTGCCCTGGCTTCGGCCGAAAACCCCCCGCTCCTTCGGGGCGCGCCCCCGCCCCACACTCACCGTGGGCGCGCGGGGGGTCCGCACTGGCCGCAAGGGGACGCGGCAGCCTTGGGGTAAGGAAGGGAGGAAACAAAAAAAAAAAAAAAAAAAAGTCAGCACGTAGATCACGTCGCGCGCCCAAGCGGCCGCGTCCAAGAAAGCTCGGCGCTGCTACTTCGTGCCGCCCCCCCCCCGGCCCGCTCCACGGAGGGCGCAGCCACTCACAGGCAATGAGGAGCTCCACCGCGTCAGCCAGGTACGCCAAGACAGACGCCACGGCGAGCAACGCATCGTCCCACTGGCCATATTTGCGCCACGCCACGCAACACAGCCCGGACAGCTGGGAGGAGCGGAAAACGCACAGGAGCGAACACGAAACTAACAAATGGCCCGAGTCTGCACCACCCGCCTGGGCGACCTTAACAGGAATGAGACACTGGCGCTCGCACGTGCCCGAGTCATGGGTGGTAACTCGCGGGTCGCAGGCCGCAAAACCGGCGGCGGTGATCAGAGCTTCGAGTGTGCGGTCTTGCGCCGACCGGCGTGCTTCCTCGACAATTTCGAACCCTATCCTACGAGGGGGGTGCGTGTTAATATTTGGATGCCACCTACTCCCTCTCCTCCTCCCCCCCTCCTCTCGGACTTACTCTTACTCAGACTTACGCCTGCCCAGACTTCCTCCTACACAGACTCCCTCACACTCAGACATCAGCATACATCAGCATACCCAGTCGTACCCAGTCTTACTCAGACCCTGACGTATGCATACACAAACTCACTCCGACACCAACGTACGTTTTTTTTTTTTTTTTTTCCTCTCCCAGTCCCAGTCCCAGTCCCTGGCCAAGTCCGCAGCGAAAGGGGCCGCTGCACCTGGCTCCCTCCGGCTGGCCCCCTGGCTGGGCTGCCGACGCCCGCGGTCGCCTTAGGCGGCCCGGCGGGCCCGCCGGCCACCGCGCGGTCTTCGCGCCGCCAGCCGCCGCCGCCCGCCGCCCGCCCGGCCGAGCCGCCCTGTGTGCCTCGGCCTCGAGGCCGCGGGAGCGCTCGAAGCCCTGGCCCGGCCGGCTCCGCTCCGTGCCCGGGCAAGGCCGCCCGCGAAGGCCGCCAGAGCTGCCCCAGCCCGGCGGCCCGCGGCCGCAGCGCCCGCCGGCCCTGCCCGCCTGCCGTAACCCACGACGTCGGGTCCCAGCTTCGCGTCCAGCATCGCGCTGAGCAGCACGAATGCCTGTTGCCACTGCCCCCTCTTCTCGCCCGCGCTGATCCCAGCATTGTAGCTGATGACACTTGGCGCCACCTTCGCCTCCCACATCTCGCTGGGCAGCGAGAGAGCCCGCTGCCACTGCTCGCCGTTCGTGCACGCGCTGATCCCAGAGCTGTAGCTGATGACACTTGGCTCCACCTTCGCCTCCCGCATCTCGCTGAGCAGTGGGAGAGCCTGCTGCCACTGCTCGCCGTTCGTACACGCTCTGATCCCAGGGCTGATCCCAGAGTTGTAGCTGATGGCATCTGGCTCCGACCTCACTTCCCACATCTCGCAGAACAGCGATAGAGCCCGCTGCCACTGCTCGCCTTTCGTGCACGCGCTGATCCCAGAGCTGTAGCTGATGACATTCGGCTCCGATCTCACTTCCCACATCCCGCTGAGCAGTGATAGAGCCCG